GCTTAAGGGGGATGGGTGTGTTAAGTACAGGTTGTTGTTTTTCTTGATGATGAGGAGAACTGTATATGTTTGCAACTAGAAGGAAAGGCTCCAGTAGGAAAGGAGAAACTGAAGGTAAGACAGAGGAAATGATCCAGGGAGCAAGCTTCTTAAAAAGATGGAAAGGGAGGAGACCTAGGGATAGGGCAAGTTCTGCATTTAAAAATTCTGCAAATTCTGCATTCTGAAAAAAAAAAGAATCACTTCTGAGTCTGAAACAAATAAAACACTAAGAGACAGCATGGAAGGTTTTGAGGTGTGGAATAAGAGAGAAGAGAAAGTGCACTATGGAATGTTTATTTTTCCCGAAAAGGCAGGGGGTGACCAGATTTGACAGACCTATAGCAATTTATGAATGGGAATACTGAAAACTATATTTAACAGATGCAGGGCACCTCAAAGGAAAAAAGATTTGGATAGGAGCAATGGAATAGTCTGAAAGTGACAGTAAGGAACAATGAGTAAGTCAACTCCTTTCCTCCTGACCCAAAGTGTCAGAAAGCACCCTCTCAAAAGCAACAGATACTAGAAATGTCTAAGAATTGATTGTCTTCAGGGAACAACAGAATGTTGAAAAACTGTGAGATGAAAAGATTTATAAGAGGAAAAGGAACCTGTTAACAATAGAACTAGGACTCCAGAGAACACAATGGAGTGAGAGGACAGAGGATAGGCTATGTATCATGGAGGGATAAGGCTGAGCTGAACGACAGTACTGAAGAAATAGCAGGGGAAAAGGATTTTCCCCTGAGCAGATGGTGACTAAGCATAGAAATATGAAGCACAAGGTGGTGGTTGCCAGGCCACAGGATTGAGGGGGAAAGCCCTGACTTCCAGGATCCTGTGATAATTGAGCCCAGATCCAGGAACAGTGATGGTGGCATCTGCTTCTACCACTTGTCATTCCAAGCACTCGGGACCTGAGGATAGAAGCTCTGGATAGAGGCAGCAGGGAGCTCTGTTCTAGAAGAAACTCTTTACATGGAAAAGGTACTTCACTCCCAATCTCTGAATTCAAGAAGTAGGTCTGATACCCTGAGGCTCAGTATCTCTGATGAATTCATTCAGAATCTCTGTCTGAGACATGTGGGCCCTCACAAACCTTCTCCTCTCTCCTTCAAGTCCAAGTCAATGGATCTATGATTTCATGGATGCAGGTGCTCCTATCCACACATTCTCATCTGGGTGACTCTGGTCCAAGTCCTCTCATAAATCCTCTATCAGTGCAACGTGCCCTTCTTCTAGGTCTCTTGAGATTACATGGATATATCATATGCTATGTAACACACAAAAGGTCCACCAGTTATCCTTCACTCTCACTGTATCAGGCTCACCACCAGACATCTCTCTCAGGATAGCTTTTATAATACTTCATGTTTACAATTTCTTCATCAGTAATATGCTGCAGCCTACTTAGATCCACCATTCACCTATCCATTGTCCTTGGGTAACTCACAATTTTGATTCTTCAGATAATGTGGTTTTCCATGCTTCATGAAATACAATGTACTGTAGTGATGTGGTTTTTGTTTTAACTCTATATTAAACAGCTCTAAAGGAGTAGAATAAAACTCTTATTTAAACTTAGTTTTCCTTCCTGTGCCTATCATAATCCCTCTGAATCAGAGTGCATAGTAGGTGGTTAATAAATGCTTGCTGAAAGGATGAACATCTTAATCTGTGCCACAATTTTTTGGCTTCTAGAGAGTATTGATCCCTGGATATCTCATTAGCCTTATTTCTGAGTTCTCAGTTTTAACCAGGAGACCAGAGAGACAGAGGGTTTTGTGTGTGAGTTCAATAGTATGACACCTTACTGGAGAACTGAACAGCCTGTCTCTAAGAGCCAAAGTTCTAACCAGGGCTCTAAAGCACATCAGCTTCCCTTGTCCAATTCTCTTGACCTTTGTTTATAACAGACTTAAGAAGAGCTGCTAAGTGCCTGAATTGCTTCTTGTAAATGCGGTCCATATAGTTGACAGAGATTTCTCTTCCCATCACCAGCAAGGCCTGGGTACACCATCCTAGATATTAAAGGAGTGCTTTTCTTTCTGGGTTAAAATTGAAAAACAATTCACCTATTTATGAGCTAAAATTGCAATAGGCTAATCCTCTGCTGATCAATCATAAATGATGCAGGATTTGCCTCTAGCGTGCAGCTGGGAGACAGCTAAGAACAAGAGGCAGCTGTCCCTGCTGGAAGCAAAGTTTCCAGATGTCTGAGAGTGAGACCTTTGCATTTCTGGAGCAAAGCTCAACAGGCTGTAAATAAGTAGGAGACTTGAGACTGGCTGAGCCGTTGGTGGTGCTGCCCAGTTCATTTGCTTGTAATCTAGAAGGATGGAAGCCCTTTCAAAGCAAAACTGATGGAAATAGTTTGTGACTCACCATGAAACCCTGAGTATGGTTTTCTGGGAGATCCAATTACATTCACTCAAAAAAAAAAAGCCCACAGAACATTCCCTTGGGTTTGGTAGATGTGTGGAGGAGGTGGCCCAGCATGGAATGTTAGTTAACAAAGAGCAAAGTTTGACTGAAGGAACTGATCACCCCGCACCACCCCTCTCCCTAGCCATACACCCAATAACCTCCCCCTCCCCCACAACCATCCTATAGCCCTAGAGCCTAAGCAAGGAAATTCCACTGCTTAACAGGAGGTGGAGCTGATTACCCCAGAAATGTTTTGCATTAGGAAGAAACAAAGGATGCATTTCCTTCTTAGATTAACTGATTATTATTGGAGTTTGACTCTTTGGAAGAAAGGGCTATCAATGCCCTTCAGTAATTAACAACTAGATTTGGTTTTCCTCAACTTCAGACTATCCTTTTTTTCATCCCTGTTCAAAGGAGATTTTTAAAAGGCAGAAAGATGGACTAAGATTGTGGGCATATAAATTAAATTCACTCTTACACCCAAAAAGCAAAGGAATTCTGTCTACAAGAAACCCTTTTAAATTAAAAAAGCTTTTGCATCATTACCAAATCATATGAATATTGTCAAATAAACATTAACCACAATGGATATAATAAGCCTGTGTTTTTCTATTGTCGATAGTGCCCTCATGTGGCTTCCAAGATCAGCTACATTTAAGAATTGTTTAAAACTCAAGTCTACACCGAAAGGCATGAAGAAATGTGTGTGTGTAATGTAGTAGAATAAAACCCCCTGGTACACTTCAGAAAGGAATAATCTCTCCTCCCCTAAAGACTGTTAGGAACAATGGGACACAAACACAAAACAGGGAACAATTTGTTTGGGGGTCAACTAGCCACCATTGATAAGTAAACAAATGCTTACTAACCACAAAAAATTCTTTACAATAATTCTGAGGCACTGAAACCTTAATTTATCACACGGTTTCATTTTAATCTCCAATTTTATTTTATAAAAACAAAATAATTTAACAATATAAAGAAGAATAAATCTAACAATCTGCAAAAAAGTCAGTGGCTTCCCTGATTCTGAACAATCAACAGACTGTAGTCAAGTACTGTATCTGCATATTTAACAATTGTTCTCTTTGAGGTTCCAGGTGGCTGTCTCCTCCCTCTCCCCGCCATCCCCTGCAAATACACTCTTTATTCTAAGGGTGCAATAATGTGTTCAAATTTTCCAATACCCAATAGGGCCAGCTATGCATTGTGAATCAGTACAAAACTGGTCTATAATTTAGTAAATAAGTTTTAGAAAGTTGCCTGAGGCTCACAAGAGTGAAATGACATGTCACACAGGTAGTAAACATCAGAGATAGGATTGGAACCCAGTTCTTCCTCACTTCAGACCCAGAACTATCCAATGCTGTTCCTAACAACTGCATTTTACACAAACTACACAAATACTGCTGAAATATGGGGTAGAAATCTCTCATACAAGGTTTTCTAAGACCTGACTCCATGCTTCATGAGTTCTGACAGCAATGAGAAATAGGTCTGTGTTCAAAGTATAGAATTAAAAGGAAAAAAAATTCGCTATAGTGTCTCACTAAAGCTATGGAAGAAAACAACTGACCATAATAAAGATGGGTGACATGTGTGCTGCAGGAGTACTGTAGTTTTAAACTAACCATTTCCTGTTCTGCCGCACTCAATTTTGCCAGAAGTCAATAACAGTGCCACAATTTCTCTCACTAAAAACATCTGCTGAACTGAGAATCTCATGCAAAGTGCAAAGTAAAAAATAATAATAATAAATCATGGATTCATTCTAAGTAGTTGATGGGAATGCGAGTAATTGCCTTTTGGAATTATATCTCAAATAAGTCTTGTCTATTTAGTGCCTAAGACTCATTCTTCCAGGGCAAAGGCTGGGCAGAAAGGGGTAAAATAACTTGCCCAGGGTTACACAATCGCATCAGTAGCAGCAGTATCATATTCTTCAGGAATATGAAGAGTTATGACAAAAGAAAAAGCTGCTCTCCATTTCATCCAGGGTCCAAATAGGCTGTTACTCCTCTAGAATCACATTGAAAGTCACTAATAATGTTGAGTTTTCAACTGAAGGTTCTAGGCATGGTCGCTGTTTTCCCCTGCTTCTTGTCTTCACTCTCAGGGGGTTATTTCTACTCATGGATCCCTGATTTACAGATCCCCCACTGAAGCCATCCTTCCATGCCTTTTTGGGGTGTGGGGGTAAGCCTGAGTTCTAGAAGCCTTTGCCAGAAGAGTGCAAGCTCTGGCAAATAGCTCCCACCAAGATGGAAAAGCTTTTGAGTAGGGGTTCAGTCTCAGACTGACTAAACCCAGGTGCTTATCATCAAAAGACTGGCCACCATGGGATGATTTATTTCTTTTTGGCCACAATCATTCATGTCAGTCAAATAAATCTGAAAAAAAAATTTTTTTTCTTAATGACCAAAAGCTGAGGCTATAGCTCAGGTCCTGCCATTAAAATATACGCCTATGTCAACAATGCAAATACAGGTACATTCCACTTTAAGCAAACTGATACATGAAAATCAAGATTTACAAAACCAGGAAAACCCAGATTTTAAAAATTAGAGTGGTTATTCATTTTTACAAAAGAATGCTTTACAAAAAGGAATTCACCATAAAATTTAAATAACAAGCCCTTCTCTACAACCCCCCCATATACAATATTTTAAATAATTGGATTTACAAAAAAAAAATCAGCTTAAACGTAGCTTTTCAGAAATGCATTGTACACAGTGAGGTACACTTGCAAGAATGTTTCCAAATGGGCCACCTATGTGCATTTTTACACAGCCCTTTCCCCTTCCTCCCCAACAGACAAAACAAATGTTTAAAATGCAACCTGAATTCTCAATTATCGGAACACATTATTGATACCTGTCCTTGAGGAATGAGCCAAGAGGCAGCTAGCAAAATTGGCTAATGGACCAATGACTTTTTATCTTTGTCCTGAAGTCATTACCATTTGGTGACATGATATTTGTATTTCTGGCCCAGCTAACTAGTCGAGTCTCAGTAGAAGCCCGGGTGGAATGGGCACAAAAAAGATCTCTGATTCTCTTCCTATGGCAGTCTTCAGGACAAAGAGGATTTTCTTTGCTGGGGTACTTCACTCTGTAAGAACCAGCCTTTTTATGTTGAATGAGTCATCAAAGATGTCCACACTCAGGAATTTCTCAAGACCATTCAACTCATGTTTGGAAAATAGGCAACTTTTAATTGTTCAAGCTGACTGAGGGAAGATTATAGCAGTTCAATCAATCAACAAGCATTTGTTAAAGACTAACTATGTGCCAAGCATTGTGCTAAGGCTGAGGACACAAAGAAAAGACACGATCCCTTCCCTCAGGAAGCTTATAGTTTAAAGGAGGAAACAATGTATATAAAGCAGAACACAGGAGATAAATATAGAGTAGATGGAAAGTAACTTTAAAAGGAATAAGAATAGCAGCTGCCCGTAGACTGGACACAAGAAAGCCCTCCTGGACAAGCAGCTGGTACTTTACCACATGATCCAAAAATCCTATTTGGTTTTGAAATGGTGAGGGATTTTAAAAAAAATAGCAAGGTAACTTTTGAAATGATGCAGGCAAGTATACACAATGAAACACAATAGATGGCCAGCTCAGCTGCTATGAAATTATATGGATGAGAATTTCACAGGATCAAAAGACATGGAGGGGTTTCAATATGTAGTTATGGAGGGAGCTTTAAAGCATCTACGTGTAGATAGCTCTGGATCATAGGATCACAGATCTCAGGCTGGAAAGGACCTTAAAGGTCATCTAGTCCAACCTCCTAATTTTACAGATGAGGAAACTGAAGATCAGAGAATTTAAATGACTTGCCCAAGGTCATATGAATAATGATCTCCCAATTATGTTTTTATTAGGTAGTACTGAAGTTAGTTTGCCCTCTCTAAGAACATGTTAACTGATAGTACATATAATCTGAATAATAGAGAGAGCTCGCATAGGTAATCCTAAAAGTAGTTAATTCAAATGAAGGTCATTGGAAGCTGACCATACGTAGATAAGGGCTAAGACTCATTGCAACATCATCCGATACATGAGATATTTCTCATTTTCATCTTTCCTCTGAAGCATAAGTAGGCACATAAACATCATTACAAGAAAGTTAATCCAAAAGATCCTACAATATAAATTTCAAAATTGTACAAAATCATACCAAAGGCAAGTATAAAATTATAACATAGCATTGAAAACCTCTTTAAACTTTTCTACACCATTTAAAAGAGAGAAACCAAAAATACAGTACATCTAGGAGATGGAGTGACATATGTCTGTTATTTTATTCACTGAATCATGTTATGGCTAGGAGTATTTAAAATTTTTTAAAAATCTGGTTCTAGTCTGATTTATATAATACACTAAGACTTCATTCATAGTAAACCTCTCAAATAAAATGACTAAAACTTAAAACAGCATCAAACTCCATTTAATTTTGTATCCTTCATGCTTCTGGAACAAATCCAAAAGCCTTTTCTCCTAGATCAACAGGGCACTGATTTGAGCTTTGGATATTGGCAAAACTATAGCCCTCTAATTGAAATTGTTTGGACAAAAACATATGACAAAAATAAAATCTGAGAGTCATGTGATATTATTTCCCCACTCTCCAAAAATCTCATTGCAGAAAACTGCCCCAATTAGCTGTTAAATGTCTCTATTCTCAAAGAAGAACTACAAAATCAAGGATTTTTAAAGTTCTCAACAGAAAAGGCACCAGCCACAGAAGCAGAACATGATTGTATTATCTGATCATAAATGAGCATTGGTCATTTGCACAACATTTAAAAAGGATTATTTCATAACGTCATATGAGTTTGGAGTATATTTACAACACCCACTAAAAAAGCTGGTTATCGTAGCCAAACCTCAGGGTTTTTGTGTAAATCTGAATTCAATTATTCAGAACTGGCTTACATTCCCTAATGGGGGATTGTGTTGTGGTGGAAACAGAGCTTGATTTGGAGTCAGAAGACCTGGGTTTGAATCCCTACTCTGTCACTGAGTATGTAACCCTAGACAAGTCATTTGATGTTTCTAGGCCCCAGTTTCCTCATCTGTAAAATGAAAAGGTTCAGATGATCATGGATGATGTCGAAGGTCCCTTTCCAGCTCTAAAACCATGACACTCATTTTACACGATTCAATTACCCAAAAACCCTATCTCTCAACACATTTATACTAAGGAGTGTGGACCTTATATTCCTCATCTCTAAAGTGGCCCTCACTGACTGTTGGTTCACCAACATTTCAGAGACTTCTTTGATACTTGTACACAGTCATGGTGCCCCTTCTTGGGAACAAAGGATTGAGAAAACTAAAGAGAAAGAGGGGATATAAAGAGAGTCTTAATGCAGCAGGGAGTTGAGGTGCAGAGAATATTTACAGGTTCTATTCAGAAACAATACCTTTATGACTACCCTTGCTGAAGCAAAGCTGCCTTTTTAGTTCACACTAATGTCACCCAGAGCCATACAGTGGAGGGTAGTAAGCCTTTTGCCATAATTTGGCCTCTAGCATCCAAGAAGGTTTTTTCCTAATCTTAAGGTGCATGACAGAAATTCATTTTTCCTGTCAACTCAGTGGCATTTATGTTTCTAGGTATTTCTATTCCCTGTGTTGTTTTATAAAATATCCCTTCTGTTCTCTAGAGTCTCTACAATTCTATAACTAGACGGTCTTCATCATCACTACTGCTGTCACTGTATTCTACTCGAGTTTGCTTCCTCATCCCTTCCAGGCTCCTCTTCTTGAAGTTTTTAGAAGTTACTCCAGAGATGTTTGAGGACTCTCCAGGACCGGCAGCAATGATGCTCTCTTTAACTGTGACCATTCTAGTTACTTGGCTTTTCTCACTATTACTTCCATCTTCACAGGTTCCATGCTTTTCCCCACAGCTATAATAGCTACTGGTAGAAAAGTATGTCCGAGGTCTCACTGTCACCTGATGTAAACTACTTGTGCTAAATCCTGAAGATGATGTCTCCAGTTGAGTCTTCCCAGTCAGGCCCATTGAAACTGAGCATGAAATTCTTGATCCAGATGAAGGTTTCTCTGGTAAATGTGAACATGACTTACCTACTACTATAGGTTCTCTGTCTGGGATGTTTTGTGACAGAGGGTCTGCTATTGCCAAACCTCGGGCCTGAGACTCATCACTATGAATTCTCAGGGTTTTGTGGTTTGATTTGGCCCCTAAAGAAATAGAAATGGCAGATACAGATGTGACAGCATCAGGAAGATGAAATGTTCCCCTGGCATTCAAACAAGAAGGCCCCAAAGGATCTAAGTAACTTTTTGGAGTTGAGTCTATTGAAATGTGTTTCGATGTGTCTTGGGAAGGAGTCAACAGTAATCCAGTATGGAGGCCACTGTCATATGCAAAAGGCTTAACCTTAGCTGTGGCCAAGCCACAGTGTGTTTGCAGAGGTAATCCTGAAGTGGTGATAGTGTTCTGAAGAGAGGGATCACCACACTCACTAGCAGATGGAGGCAGATCCTGAAATAAATGAAGGAAAATAGAAAATTGTAAAATGTCAATTGGTGCAGAGAGTTCCGGTCAAAGACAATGTAGTACTAATAAAATACTAATGATTTCTGCAACACTGAATGCAACCCAGTGTGCCCAGAAAGCAATGGATAATTAATAACTAATTGAGACATTATTAATAAAATAATAACTAACAGTTGCATGGTGTTTTAATGTTTACAAAGAACTATGCCAACTAATTGATGTAATAAAGGAAGTTGTTGACATCATTTTATATTTTCCATCTCTATCATAAATTAAAATACTTAAATATCCAATAAGCTCTCTCCTTCCAATACTGAAATTACTCATCTTCATGGTACTAAGGCACCATTAATGACTCATTTTGCTATAGACTTATTTTTATCTATATCAGTTGTTCTTAAAGGGTCCTCTGGGATCACTGATAGTCCTCCAAGCAACTTATGAGCTGATATCTTGTAATATTTGTTTGTAATATGACCATCAATAGCTACCTATTTTCTGTCATGAATGTAAAATGGCCTTGGGATATATAATAAGGCCCATGTATCAAACTATTTGCTCTTATCAAAAGCAGCCCCATTTTTTCTCATTAATTTTGGTGAAATTTTATGGAAGGAAGCAAAAGTAGGTAGAATAAACAGTTTGCAAAGGTGCCGCTCCACCAAAATTATGCCAAAGAAGTTTCAGAACCACTGATGTATGGCAACTGTTGGGCAAGTTCACTCTGAACTACTTACTTCCACATGTAGATTGTCTGTTTCCTGGAAGCTTCTTGAACTTATACTGTGAGAAAAGTTTCCTGAGTTATTTTTACTGTTATCTTCACTCTTCGGGTCATCCTCACAGCAAAATGACAGTTCTGAGATTGTGACAGATGATGTCCCTTGTAGACTTGGACCTGAAAAAGAAAAGATTTATAGACACCTAAAACTAGTGGAAGATCAAATACTAATTTCCTAGAATGCTATTTATTAATTCATGAAGTTATGTCATCTTAATCACTATTTTGTAAAACAACTATAACAATTCATACTAAGTCAGTTCCAGATTATCTACATTTTTGAAATAATCACAGAATAATTTTTATTTAGTTTTACAGTACAAGGTTGTTAGGGTAGTTTTTTCCCCCAATATGTTTTCTTAAGTCAAAGTGAGGGTAAGGAGGGTTCGTGGAGAGAGTTTCCCTGGGACAATCTTTTGAGAATATCTTTCTCTACAGAATACAGACATGGTCATTAACACTTTTTTTAAGAGAACAAATGCAGCTCCTCATGGGGTTCCATTAACCAGGATATCCCTCAAAGTGACTGGTTGGGTGGGACTCCAAAGAGAAAGAACTCCCATCAGAGGAGTCAATCTACTTTGTTAACCTATGAAACAGAGTGAGCCAGCCACTCTTGTTTTTTCCCCCAAGAGAATAGAGCAGGGTGTAGCAGAGCAGAGCTGTGCTCTTAGGTAGGTGGAAGCAAGCCTGAGCATGCTCCAAGTCTCATCTCCCTGGGAAATGTTAACTGGGGCCATGGAGCAAAAACAAATGGGAGCTCTATAGGCTTGCCTACAGCTTTCTCACCCACACTGCCACAGAAGAGAGCGCTTGATAGCAGACTTCCCCAGATGAAGAGATGGCCACAGTTAGGACAACAAAATTTCTGTAGAAGACCAAGCAAGATGCTTTTACCTGAGTGGCCCAGGAGGGGAATCCATGGGCAATGTTCCTGAACCCTGACCTCCAATGTTAAGAAGGGGAATTCCCTAGACAGCAACAAATCTAAAAATAAAATCTAAAATCTAGCAACAAAAGAACAGCTTTAGCTTTGGTGGTTGTCTCAAAGTAATCCCAAAATTGAGACTGGGGAACAGATATGATTATGATTTTGACATGGCAGTTCATAGATCAGACCTTCTAAAAAGAGAGAAAGGTTTCCTGATCAGTGAGCCTCTTGGAAAAAGAAGAGAATTGCCCCTGTGGCCCCACGGCAGAGAAGTAGTGATAGTTAAAGCCACAATGAAGAGAAGCTAGGGATCTGGACCTTGTCACCTCTCACAGTAAGTATGTAGACAGTGGCGGTTCAATGGTGTTATTCATCAATAGTTTTTAAAAAGCATGGTTGTCTTCCATAGAGAACTCAAATCACAAGGGATACTACAAATCTTAGGTAAAAACTGTACAGATCCTTTTGGGAAAGCTGAGGTTTAACTGAAACGTCTGGGTATTGTCCTTTTGGTAACTCTTCAGTTCGTTCCCATCCAAGAGGAACTAATGATGGGGTTGGGATCTGGACTCCAGAAAGGAAAAACCCTGGACTTCCCCACATGGACAAATCTCTGGTGTTCACCTGAGGCTGTGATCCCATCAACTGGCCTTTCATTGTAGCCACTGCTTGTGTTACCTCCCTATTGCCCCAGGCCACTTCCCACCATTAATCTCCATTCTCCCTTGGCCATGTGGTCCAGGTCCCAGGCCTTCTATTCACCCCAGTTTACTGGCCACTCTGACCCAGATCTCCTTAGACCCTCTCCTCCAGTCATCCCAAACTACTTGTCCATTCCTAGATCCCTCCCACAGTCTTCCTATATATAAGGTCCATTTTGTCTCCATTAAGGTGCTCAGATCCTTATAATCTAGCCAATAGTTCAGTAATGGTCAGATTCCTTAAGTCTGGCCAATATGGCAGATGTTCCAATAAACCTTGTCTTTGGCTGAAAGAAGGCTTGGGTTGGATTCTTTCAGACAGGAACCTCATGTTGTGATTTTGGGGTCCTAGCACCCCTGAATCTCTAAACCTCAACAGATAGCACAAAATTCACTGTGCATTCAGTTATTCTAGCACTTAGCACAGTGCCTGGCACATAGTAGGTGCTTAGTAAATGTTTATTGATTGATTGATTATGCCTTAGGTAGCATATACCATATACCATCAAATATATACCATTATAAATCTGTAATGCCAAATTCTCTTTATGATAAATTTATAGATCTTATAAAATGATAAAAATAAGTTATTTAATTAGTTATTTGAAATTGTAAGTAATCTGATTCACTTCTGTAGCTTTGCCAAATATACTAAAATTCAATTCGTTTTGATTTCTTGAATTCTATATTTGTGATAGTTCAGATAAGTTAAAATGAAGTTCATTTTTACATTTTCTCTGAATACAGTATTTGCATAGCCACTTAAGAGTAGATCCAGATACTATTTAGAAGTTCTATGTGTAAGGACTTTATTCATTGTATACCAACAATGCTAGCAATTCTAAATTCCTGTTAATTAAAGCAGACTTGTCAAGACTTTACAGGAAAACCTTATTTTCCAAGATTTCTAGATATTAGAACACCTACCTATTGTTATCTAGATAGTAGAACTATCTTCTGCTGATTTCAGGACTATTTTACCTCTTTCATTCAGAAATATACCTGCTTGGAGGACACTTTGGAAAGGAAAACTGGGGTAGGGAGGGCTGCTCTATACAAAGGAGAAGGTTTATTCCCCTGAATTTTTCACAGAAACATGGAATTCTAGAGCTGGGCTTGCCTTTAGAGATTACCTAGCTCAACTCACCAATTTTAAAAATGAAGAAAAGTAAATCTGAGTGGGGTCATATGACTTGCCCAAGGTCACATATTCATTAAATAAGAAAGGAAAATAAAAAGCAGAACGAATTTCCAATAGTTCTTTGGAATTTGAAACAGTTTAAATAAATTGGGAACTGAAAATATTTGCTTTTTAACATTAAAAAACTTGTAATTCAACTGAGATCACTGAAAAAGTTTCTCATCTTTCCTCAAGCTTAACACCCTAAAAAAGAAGAAAATATTCCGTTTTTACATTTCATAGCAATATTATTTAACAACCTCAGGGAAATGATCTATATTTTTCTATAAATTCTTACAGGAAAAAAATGGGGCTCCAGGGATAGATGACTATAAGCTAAAAATCAACCATGAAGATAGGGGACACATGAGTTCAAATTTAGCCTCAGACATTTACTAGCTGTGTAACCCGGGGCAAAGCCACTTAGTCTCTCTGTGCCTCAGTTTCCTCATCTGTAAAATGGGGACAATAAAAGTCTATCTCCCACAGTTTTTGTGAGGATCAAATAAGTTCACCTATGCAAAACCCTTTGCAAATCTTTTAGTGCTATACAAATGTTAGCTATTGTTGCCATTACAAAGATCACCAAATGATTGACCACATGGTGATGAAGCTTTTGTCTATGACCACTACCCATGGAAATGCTGTGATCTCTGATGGTGAAAATAGTATTCATACTGATAAAATCATAAATTCCTCAAGTATTAAAGAATCAAGGAATTTTATAACTTCTCAATCTTCACTTAAGACTTGCACTTACAAAAATAAATATCTTGGAGCAGCATTATTAAATAAGCTTTAGAAAATAATTTATAATGTTTCCTTGAAAGAAAGTAATAAGATAGTGAGAGTCATCAATTTCAATTAGAGTAAAGAAGGGTGGGGTGGGAAATGCTTCCTATTTAGCCCAAGCTTAGTCTTTTGAACTACTGGTCACCTCAGGAAAACAGATAATGTAGAGAGAGCAAGAAGAGAGAAGTATTCAAAGAAACAGGCTCTCCCAGGTTAAGAAATTGAAGGGCTCATAAAAAAGAACCAAAAAACTAAATCCTAACAAAATTCTATTTTATACGAATCGTGTACTTGAAAAAACACCTCTCAGATCTCTTTAATTTTGCAGTCTTTTAGTTGAAAAGCAAGGAGTCAAAATATTTTCTCTCACAGACATATTATCTAAAGCTCCCTGAGGGAAATATACCTTAAAATATGGTATAATAATGAGGCCAAATTGAATAAATAGAAAATGAGAACTGCCCCCCCCAAATACAGATATAGAATAACTCAGGAAAGCTTATTTTTTGGATTTATAAAAAAGAAAGATGAGTGATTTCATTTAATTAAAATTAATATAAAAAGTCTATTCTTTGAAACTTGATGAAATACTTGACATCTTTCCATCTTTCCACAATATTTCCACATACAACCACAAAAGAGAGGATATTATTGTATTTCTGCAACCCTTTAACAATATTTCTTAAGGGGTTTGAAGAAAGAATTATGTTTCCTGATGAATTCTGACATGGAAACAAAAAAGAAGGCTGTGGGTAGAAAATAGAATACTGCTATAAATTGGCTTCCATTTTCTTCTCTGTATCAACTCAAGAAAATCATCAACTAATGGGGAGGGGGGAGGGGTGGAGAGAGGAAGGACAGTATGGAAATGTGAGTACTAAGCACTAGCTGAGGAGACCACCCTTGACAACTGAGAAAAATTGAGACACTCTGGGGCAGGGACAGAGTTGGGGGGGAGAGAAAGACACCAACTAGTCAAAAAAACCCAAAAGACTACATAAATCATACAGAATTTATTATCTTTAAGAAATATTGAGAAAGACTACCCTTTATAAGTAACTCAGTAAAGCTTTTACTTCAGAAATCATCTTTTTGGGCAGTTCATTTTACTTTTCTATGCTGTTAGCTGAAAAAGAATCAGTATAAGATATCTCCCAGGAAATGTTTTCTAAACCTTGTCTAGTGTTATGCTATTAAAATTTTTTTCAATAATTTACCAGGTTAGTTATGGATAAATGTGACAGTATTAACTTAGAACAGAGAGAAAAAAAGTGAGAAATTATGAAATGGAAATATGAAAACTGTTCCCCTAAACCCTCGTATAAACATAAAAAAAAATATTTAGGAATATTTATTTTTTGGACTTTTTAAAATTAAAAGATAACTACCATTTAATTAAAACTATCTGAGGGCAACTCTGTCAAATCCATTCATGAAATATGCTAATGAATGTAAGAAAACTCTCCATCCTTCCTCATTTATTTCTAAAAAATAAGAGTGGAGGAATTATTCC